GCCCACTCCGTGCCATGGGGAGCATATTTTTTCCAGCGACTGAGGAACCAGCGTGGCAACGTAGGCAAAACCAGTATAAAAGCATACAAAAGTGCAAACCATGGAGTGATCCCGCGAAATAATCCCCGGGAAAAAAACCGAAATCTAGGTATTGCTGTTGAAATGGCTTCGGTGAAATAACAGTTGGGTGTTTGCCCAGGTGCTATGTTGGTGTTCCGCTTGGTGATCGCGATTTTTACAACCTTGTATTTTGCGCCCTCATCGGTTCCATGCTTCGCGTTAGTGCGCTGACCAGGAAAGATCGGGGGGTTGCCTGCATGACACAATAACCTCATGATGTTGGTAAAAGGCCCGTTCTCACCTATTGGCCCCGGGCCCATGAAGCACCCGGACCCCTCAGGGGCATCTTAAAGAACCCATTCTGCGGGCCCAAAAACAACTAGTTGGAGCCTTAGGGTATCTCCAACTAAGGCTGAACAGCAGGGTTGTGGGATCAAGGGGTTTATCCCCACTTCCGGGCTACAAGGGAATCTCCCTCTTGATGTGAGGGGTTGGTCTTTGGGAAGCCCTTTTGGTGGTATCACAGATTCGTGGATTCCAGGTCCCACCGCCCTGAACAGTGTCAGGGCCCATTTCCTTTTTGCCAGGCTCAGGCCATTCGGCCTTGGAGTTGGAACCCGACCCGCGACCAGGCGATGCCGGGCTGGGGAAAACGAGCTAAGGCCCTTTCCCATGCAGCTTTTCAGGTGACGGAGAAGGGAAAAAGAACAATACACGGGGTGAGAAGTAATTCCGGAATCCCTAAAGCGAGCGTGCAAAATGGAAAGGCAGATGCGTCAGTGCCTTGATTTTGATTGGAGGGGGGATGGCCGAAGAACGAATCCGGGAAACCAGGCGAACCCCTTATCTCACTCCTTGAGTTCATGGGCTTGAAGCCTTACGACCCGTTTAGTGGCAAACAGTTTGGACTTCTTTTATTTTCCCCCAACAGCTGAAAGCTTTGGGGTCTCAGCCCAGATAGGCTCCGGGGTGGTCCGGGGCGGCCCTGAGGGAAGGTTCCACGAGGGTTCCACCAGGGTTCCACCAGGGTTCCACCAAAACTCCACCAGGGTTCCACCAGGGTTCCACCAGGGTTCCACCAGGGTTCCACGATGTTTTGCGAGGGCTGCGGGGTGGTGCGAGCACTAAAAAGAGCACCGAATGCTGTTGGGGATGCCACCTGAGCTTATTCCGCAAATCCCCTCAGGAAGTGAGGTAAGACAAGATGGGAATGCACTTTGGCTGTGTTGCTTGGGTTTCCCGGGCGCTACGAATGGCCTGAGCATAGGGGGGCCACATATCCGAAAGAAGCTGGCAAAGATGCAGCTTGCGAGTTCAATTGTTTGCTCAGCGAAGCCTTCGATTTTGTGCGGACTGCACCCAGCACAGATGTCGGGCACCAGTCAAGCCACAAACGTGCCACGAACTACTTGGGTCCTCGAAAGCCGAAAAGACCCCGGTCTTAGGGTGGTGTCCATGAAAGTGGGGCCTTCTGATCCCAACGGCAAAATTTGGCCGGCGGCCTGTTGGTTTCCAAGTTTCCGCGGATTGGGTCTTCGGGTTCGAGCAGTCGGACACCAGCCGGAAGTTTGGCATCTTTGGCATGCCTTGGAACTTTGAAGGGCGCCAAAGCTCCATTTGCTCCCTCCCAGGCCCTGCGGACCAAGATAGTGCGGTACCCGTGTTGTCTCGAAGCATGCCGGGGGCCCTGAGATGCCCGGCTTGACCGCCACTCACTGGAGAAGGACGGCCGGGAAATCTTAGAGAAGCAACCTTGACTGTTGGCAAGGTTGCAGGCTTTCTGGATTTGCTTGGTTCTCCAATCATGTTTCGGGCCCTTGCAAAAAGAAGCACACCGAGTTGTGTGCTGCTACTATTCCAGGGGTTGTAAAGCAACGAGTGGACCTTGGAGGGCTTTTCAGTACCAACACCCTCCGATCGCCCACTGACGCATTGGCTGTGCGCTTTGGTTGACCCATCAATCAGTCCCTGATGGATTTTGCCCACTCCCCCTATGTCTCTGCAAGAATTGAATAAGCCGGGCAAGGTTCTACTTATATGGCACTTGGACGCACATAATTTTGCACCAGTTGGATGAAACCCTATGGGCACTCTGGTAAACCACCAATCCCCAATGGTGCGAAACTGGCTTTGTCCATCCACAGCATCACATATGATTGTCCTATGGCCATGACCCTGTTTTAGCCATTTAGCTACAGAGATCCACAAACATTACAGAACAATTCTCCATTGCTCAATTCCACAGCCATAGGTCACGCAAAGGACGACAGGCTGTTGGAAGGGGAGACTGCCATCCTTAGCAGGCTTGCAGTCCACGTCCATGTTGGAAAGAGGCCATGCGGCTTCGGAAGTTGTCTCTTTTGTTTTTTTCTTCTTTTTTGTTTTTTTGGTTGGGGGGGAGGAACCAGCTCAAAGCTTGGCGGCTGGGATTTTAGGGTTTCGTTGTTGGGTTTCCAAGTCGAACCCACTGAAAGTCGCTAGCAGGGGATCCAAAAAACCGGACCCCCCAGAAAGATGGGGCCACATTTTATTTGTGGAAGTGACTGGGAGTTGGGGTTGGCGTTTACTGGTCGCCATCAAGTTTTTCGAGTCAAGATGCTTGCGCTACCTGGAACCGCGTAGGTGCTCCTGAAAAAGTGGACCTGAGTAGCTCCTGAACCCGACCGCGTCGCCGGGTCGCGCGGGACCCACTCGAGGTCCACCTGCTCGGACAGCCCAAGAGGCTGCTCCACCGCCTGCGCGACAGCGAAGCGGGTCTTCTGTGGACCTTCGCCCAGGCCGGAAGCGCCGAGGGCCGAGGTCGGAAGGAGCCCCACTTCTGCCCATGTCTGGGGTATGTTTTTCCCCACCCGACAGGAAGGGGTTGTTAGATTTTATGTTGAAATCCGTGTTTGCGATGCTTCTACACCACGCCCCCACCCAGTATCCTTGCCAGTGGATCCCTCCGAGTATCTCCCGCCAGAGCTGCTCGCCAGTGGATCCCGCCGAGTATCCCGCCAGAGCAGCTTGCCAGTGGATCCCGCCGAGTATCCCGCCAGAGCGGCTCGCCAGTGGATCACGCCGAGTATCCCGCCAGAGCGGCTCGCCAGTGGATCCTGCCGAGAATCCCACCAGAGCAGCCCGCCAGTGGATCCCGCCGAGTATCCCACCAGAGCAGCCCGCCAGTAGATCCCGCCAAGTATCGCCAGAGTGCTCGCTGCCGAGTCTCCAGCAGAGCAGCCCGCCAGTGGATCCCACCGAGTATCCCGCTGAGCGCCAGTATTTCGCCAGAGCAGCTCGCCAGTCTGGTTTTGCTTAATGTCCCGCCCGGCGGAGGAATTTGTTGTAACGGTCGTAAGCTCGGGTGTGTGTGTGGAGGGTGGGGATTGCTCGAAGCGAAGTAATTTTTTTGCTCACACGAATCAACAAACCAGTTTATTACTAGGGGGGTGTTTTTTGGCCCCTCCGAAAGTGATGGCTCCCATGTGAACCCCAGATTTTCATCAGCCAACCAGTTCAATGGGGGGCTGGTTTGTGTTCTCTCCAAAAGTGGCCTGATTCCCACGAAAATTCAGGGAGAAGCACCCCCCTAACAACAAAGTGGGGTTGACTAATCTGGGGTCTTCTTTAAGGTTGGACCCCCCTCTCAAATTTGTGGTTTTCCTTTTGGCTTTCCTTTGAAAACACGGGTAACACTCGCTGTGATAGTATTGAATTAGCAAAACCTGAAAGGAATGGACAAGGTGCAATATTTGGTAGTTGGCTAGTGGAAGGCAGGCAAAGTCGCAACAACACTTATCAATCTACAGGTGGCACGATTAAAGCACATACACGCGAGGATAACTTTTTGTGCCTAGTGAAGAAACAACGAATTAATTTCAATCATTAAACAATGTCACCACTAAAACAAACCATAGTCAAATAACATGTTGTGTTGACAAACGCCTGATAAAGTGTTGTTTAATGTGCATGCATAGCGCTATGCAATCCTTGTAGTAGTAGCGGCATTGTACCTGGTCACCCTGAATCATTGGCTTTTTTTTTGGGCGGTGTCCAACACAACTATTGTTATGGCAGGAACCATCTCCTCGTTTTCTGAACAAATGGATCAAAGGCACAAGTGGAGGGAAGGTCGACATGGGTCTGTGTCTTAAAAGCCGGCACAAGTTTCAACATGTCGAAGGGTATGAAGATGTGGCATTTTTTCTTACCCTCATTGCTCATTGGCCGTGCGGGGCATCCTCACGTGCAAGAGTTCGGGTAGCCTCGGGGGGGAGGGGGGAGGGGGGTGCTTTAGCGACCCTCAAGCTCATAGATCTAGCACCGAATCTACAGGCCAATTGCTGCAAGCTCTGCCATTGCCCATCGAGAACCAATGAAGTGTGGGCGCCTGACAGTTTCACTTTGATCTCAATGATTTCGGCAGGCAGGACGCAACGTCAGTGCCAAGGTGGGCATGCATTCAGACCCATTTATGCACAACAAGATTGGCGAAGGGTTTGGGTCACCGTCAGTCTTTGGCAAGTCTTGTTTGGGCCACTGGCGGGCTACTGATGCCGACGGCTTTATGTATCACCTGAGTTTTAAATTCGGCATTCATCCAACCCCCTTTTGGGGACCCCCGTTGGCTTTGTGAGAGGTTAAGCCAACGGGGGCCCCGCATTAGACGAATCGGCTTTTGATCCCCGCTTCCGGCAAGTGGGGATCCAGGTGCCAGAGAGATCACGTAGTGACTCACGAGCCTCAGCTTGCGCCGTTGAGACCAACACTTCACAACATGGAGCCACCGCTTGGAGGACAATTCTCTTTCAACCAGGTCCTAAGGACAAAGTCTGCAGTCGACTAATCCTTTCGGGTGAGGCCAGCTGTTTTCCGGCGGTTTTTGACTCATCCCAGACCTCCGGCGTTTGTTCCTTGCGTTGGGTCAAAAGCAGCCAAAGTTTGAATGCGGTTCTGTCTCTTTTACCCGGTCAGCGGAGGTCCTGGGGAAGGTGCTGGAAAAGAGCTGCCGATGCCGCCCATTCGGTTCAAGCTGAAAATTTCTCACGTTCGCAACCAGTGCATCGGGTGCGTTCAGAGCGGTCCTTTGGGCCTGAGTTCGATCCTCGGAAAAAAAAAATGGGCCGACTCAACTTTTCGCTGGGCTGAGTTGGTTGGACGGCATTCCGATGTCCTAAAAAAAGGGTTGGTGCCATGAGGGAGCGAAGGGAACCCAGCCTGTCACCACAAGGAAAACAAGCCTCCCCTGCCAGTGGTTCCATTTCTCAGGGAGCTCCGGGGCTTTGGATTGGTCGGGATTTGGATTACCCTCATTCTGGCAGGGCCCAACCAAGCTCCGGGCTCCGAACCACTGAGGGTGAAGCTGATGTAAACCAAACACCATCCATGAACAGTGCAACTGCAGGGCCCATATTGAGCGCCGCCCTACGCTCACTATGTGTTTTCCGAACAGGCCAGCAATTCCTCGCCGACCAGATGGCAGCCTTCTAGCAGGTGGAGCATGGGTCAAAAACCTTTCGGAGCACAAACTCACTTCTTAAACTTTAAACTTTTTGGGAACACACTTTTGGTAAATAGAAAGTCCAGACTGTTTTCACTTCCACTCCACTCGTTTGGAAGTGAATTTAACTCTGCCACCCTCAATTTCTGGTGATTTCTCGGGGCTCGGTGTGATTCGGTGTGCCCTTCAGAACTTCAGAACTGCGCTGAGCCCTTTGACTTCGACTCCGTGCAGCTTTCGAAAGCACTCAGCTCGCGGCGATTGCGGGACCTCGCGCGCATGACGCGGGATGTCGCCCGTGCTGCGGCATCCCCCGCCGCGACCACCGCCCGCTGCAGAAGAAGAGGACCGGAAGACAGCGCCGAAGCTGCGGCCCCCGGCCCGCACGTCCGAGCCCAAAGGGCAGTTTGGACAGGGCTGCTTAAAAGATACATGTTGCAACCATTTGAAACATGTTGTTTTTCCACCAAAATCAAGGGAAACCACCATTTAATTACAAGGCAATGTTCAGGTGTGTAATGTAAGTTGGAGTTGTGCGGGTGCATTTCGCCCACATTTTCCGAGCACAGCTAAGGGTTCGACCTTGGTTTGGGCTGAACTGGCTGGGCGCCAGCTGTTTGTCCAAGTCTGGGGTGGCTCCAAGTGGCTGAGCTCAAGACCTAGATGCCAGTACGGGCCCCTGAATAGCGTGCATTTCGCTCAAGCGGTTTGAGAAGTGAAATGTCTGGAGCGGACGCAGCTAGGGGCCAAGTCTCTGGCACGCCGGGATGGGAATCCAACTTCGGCATCACAGTTCGCAGGGGGGTTCCAGCCAAAAACCGCAACCCCCGAGTGAAGGTTTGAAATTATGTGTATATTGTATATACATATTCGGGTTGAGTTGAGTTAATGGGCGACCCACACGGAATCAAGCTTCCAGTCCCTCCACCGTCGGGTCCACGTACATATAATACTTGGTGGCCCCCAGCCATCCCCTTAGCTTTCCATTTCACCCACTAAAAGTAACCTTTAGCAGGGGATCAGAGGACAGCCCAGTGTTCATATACTTCCATTTGGATCAGAATACGCTATTTTTCCCTGTTGGTTTTAAAGGGAATCGATCACTACTGGGAGTGCTTATTTTTTTCCAGGGGACTTAAGCAAATTGAGGCATATATATATATATACGTACATATATGCATATCTTTGTGTATGCCCCCTTGTTTCCCTTGGCCGGTGGTTTTCGGGCGCACGCAAAATGGCCGCGAGGACCTTTCCGAAGAGGAAGGCCTTGATCGAGCCGTCCTGCTGCGCGATGAGCCCCTTGGCCGGTTGATTTTTTTCTTAGAGAAATCGTTGGGCGCTGGTGTCTTAGCTTTGGTGCATTTTGCTTGGATGTTAGGACTCTAACTTTTTGCCAACTAATGGGTTTTCCATTAAACCACTAACAGTTAAGCTTTTAGCAGGGGAGCAGAAAGCAACCGAGGTAGATGGTGAATGTTGACCGCGGAATTGATGAACCCCTGCTTATTAATAGGAGGGTGTCCCTGGGTGAAATGTGGGGAATTTTATTCATAGGTGCTTCTCCCTGCGGTTTAGGAAAGAATCATTACTTTTGGAAGGGAACGCCCCCCTGGTTGATCAATATGGGTTCAACACCACCCGAAAACTCAGCTGCGACGGGGGAAAATCGGTGTCTCGTGGTTTTCTCCCATTAGGTGGAAACGCAAAGATGGGAACAGCAAGATCACGCGCTTGTTTTTTTTCCCCCCTTTTTTTTCTTCTCTCTCCCGTGCGTGCAACATCCGAAAGGAACCCCTTTGTTAGAACCCATTTAGGGTCACAAAGTTCTTGAAACCATGTGCTTAAATCCAACAGCTGTCCTTTTAGCCATCCAATCAGGTTGGCCCAATGGGGTGGGCACTTGAAACTCATCCAGCCCAGCCGAGTTGGATCCAGGAGTCGTTGGGATCCCTATAAACCGGCGCTTCAAGGCTTTTCAACCCGTTGTGAACCGGAGCCCAACCAATGTCTCCTTCAAGGGTCCCCACACACCGAATTCGTTCAACCTCTCAATCTACGGAGTTTGGGCAAAACCTCTCTCAGTCTACAGAATTTGTCGGACGCAATGGGACCTATGATTTCCAATGGTTTTCAGTGTGCGCAGCTGGCTTGCGGTGAGGTTTGACGCGCTGGGCTTCGCATCGGCTGACGGCGACCCCAATGCGGAGTCCGCCAAAACTTATGCCGAGCGCCTTGGACACAGCGCCTTGCAGGTTGCAGTTCGATGTGATTTTTGGTCAACATGTCCAGCGAGAGACACGGACAGCGAGCTCTCGGATTCGCCCTGTGTCCATGGACCATCTGAATTCCGTGAGGCTTTCCTCTCCCAGTTTGGCAAGGAAAGCCGTGAGGGACACCGTGCAAGAGGATGTTGAAAAAAATGCATGTCATAGTGGTGTGAACTGGGATTTGGCTTTCAGATGTTGGGGCCTCTTGGGCCGTCCCGAAACATTTTCTCAGAACGCCTCTCTGAGTTTGAATTCAAGGCATTCAAAACCAGATGATCGGATTTGGGTTCAAATGGTCAATCCCGATGAGTTCCCATAGTGTCCTTTGGGCTTCCCTTTCAAACCACACCCAAAAGAGGTACCTGAAACAAGGGACGTGCCCATCTTCGGGGTTCAAAACCTGACGTTTCCAACCTGATTTCTTCTTTCGAACTCCTTCTCCCAGGTGGTTTCAAGCGAAGGCGCTGCGACGGCTCAATCGCTTGCAGGCCGGATAGGACGTGGGAGAAAACACGGGTCGTTTCTGTTGGCTCCGGCTTCTTTGCCAAAAATAAACACAAAAGGGAACCAGCAGACAGTTGAAGCATCAACAAAGTCGGGAACAGGGTTCAAGTCAAAAGCACTTTCTTTGTGTTTCGCTGAGCAAACATTCCCCACACGATGTAGCCGATGTAGCCGTCAGGTTGCTGACATTGCGCGGGAGGGCTTGTGCAGCCCATCCGACACCTTTCTCTAAATCCAAGTTGAGTGGCATCCTCAAAATCTACCCTCATTGTTTCAAGGATTCTCCCAACAGTAGTTGCAGAAGTCCAAAAAACGCGCTTACTTGTTCAGAGGGCACCGGCTCCTCATCCCCATCCCCTTAGGTATTTGGTTTTTGTTAGACATTTTGTGCGGAGTTTACATCTGGGAACAGCCCAGTAACCCAGCTGTTGAAAGCCAACCTTTTGACCTTTCGGTTTCCCCATTTTGGCAACCATATTTCGTCATGGCCCCCCGCAGGTGAACACCTTTTAGTTCCAGCTCCTTTGGGCAACTGAGCAACACCTTGCGGGGGGTACCGTGTGAAGAAAACACCCCGCCCCCCCCCCCCCCCCCCAAAAAAAAAAAGAGCAACTTCTGTACCGAGCGAGGCGCCTTGCAAGTAAAGTTGGGGCTTTTGGGCAACTGAGGTTCAGAGAGCCAAACTGCGACCCTCGGATTTTTGTCGGCGACCCTCGCCGTTTCGTTTCACAGGCCCGTCGGGCCAAACTCCCGGCGCCTGGTGACTGGCGCAGTCTGCCGAAGAAGACGCTCAAGGCGCCACGTGTTTCTCATCCCACCCTTAATGGCTAGGTCCCCAGTGCCCTTTCTCACCCAGCTTTTTTGGTTAGCAGGGTTCCCCTACCTAAATTGGACAAAACCGAAAAGAGTTGGTACCAACTTATTCTAACCTCACTGGAGGACCTAGATGGATTGGGGGAGGGGGTGACCCCTGGACTGGAGATCTCCGTTCATGGTTCCAAAAAAACGCGGAATTGGGGGGGACCCCCCACCCACCTCCCCCTCGAGGTAGGGGGCATGTATTTGAAAACCCCCAGCTGGTACCCTACTCACTTGTCCAAAGCGAATTGGGAATTTAAGCTTTTGGTTTCCGAGTTTGGTCCATTTTTGGTCAGGGCTCCAAAAGGTGAACATTTCAGTTGGCAGCTGAGACAAGGGCAACCCACAAGGAGGACATGTGTGTGTGTGTGTGCTTTTATTTTGTTTTTCTTTCCGGAGGCCAAACAGAAGTTGGTTGGACAGCTTAGGTGGTAACCTACGGTTTGAACGCGTAGAATCGCACCGCGCAAGGCGCTCTTGCGAAAAGGCATACCTCCAGAGCACAGGCTGGGGTGGGTTTGGTGTGTCGCCATCGGCTTGTGCCCATGAGTGTTAACTCATGAACTCAAGATTCAGCCTGACTGCTTAAGGGCAATATGTTTAGTGATCGCTTCATATACAGGATCATCACTTTGCACGCGAGGTTGTTTCGTGTTCGGTTCAATCCCAAATGAGTTCTTTGGAGCACACAACACTCAAAGATCCTCACGAAAGGGAGCTCCATGTTCACAGGTCTGTGCAACTCAGGATTCCGGACATTTAAACAGAAGTCCCGTGGACTTGAAACTCTAACATTCGCAAAGGGTGGTGCTGAAAAACCGCCAAGCGAAATAGAGGATTGCGACTTTGCGGGCTTACTGGGTGATCAGCTTCCAAGCTTTACCAGAGAGCAGCCATGCTTTGCAAAACTAAAGGGGAACTTCAGTATCTAGGGGGAACCTTCTCAAAAACAGCTCAAAATCCAGAGGTTGGTGTGTCAAAATAGGACGCCAAAAGTGGTTTCTTTATTTTTTACAAAAAGGACAACCATTATTTGGGGGATACCACCAAAAATACGCACCCATGTGTCAAAACAACGCCACCCAAAGCAGTGAACTGACCGGAAAATGGCGCCCTAGAGCGCCCAGGCCGGAAGTGTGGTGGAGCATCCTGGGCTGCGACGCGGTGCGTCAATCCTCCCGGGTGTCTTATCAGCAGTACCTCCAGGACGCGGCGTGTGCGCATCCGAATCCTGGCGGAGCCGAGTTCCTCGCAGAAACAGGGGGGCCATTATGTTTTTGGTCATGGTGGCGCATTTGGGTTCCAGGCCTTTCGCCATCGGGGGCCGGCTTCCACAAACCCCCGCTTTGCCTCGATGAGGATCGAGGCCATGGAACCTGGCCTTCCATTTACAAAAAAACTTTTTTTGTTTTAATGTTCATCTCTCGGTTTTAAAGAGGAATCGAATTCACTGCTGGATGTTTTTTTCTCCCAGGGGGCGGAAGTGTCAGAACCTTGGCAACAAGAAAAGGACTAGCTTTCTTCTCACAAGGCTGCCTCCTCAAGGCACCCGTGCAGGCCGATCAATTGTTTGGAGACGCAGGTTTTCTACATTCTGGCTGATTTCTATCAGGGCGTCCCGTCTTGAAGGGGAACTCTTCTTCTCCTTGGGTTTGTCTCCAAATGCGGTGCTTTCCATTTGGTTTCCCTTGGAACCAACCTGAAAGTGGTCCCCCCACACCCTGACCTGGAACCCGGAACCCTCGAAAATTGCTGCTCCGAGCTGTTCACCGTTGCGAAATCCTTGGGGTGACGAAAGGGGAAACATGAGTTCTTGTCAACTCGTGCCCCAAAGTGGATTTTTGCCCTTGGGCTTCCTCCAAAAGAACTTGTCTGGGTAAGAAAGGAAACACACACACACACACACACACCCCTCTAGTGTGAAATCCCCGCGCGAAAAGCTGACCTCCACCTTGGATTCCCCGCGAGGAGCCCTTGGATTCGGCGAGCTCGGAGGTGATCGAGCGCGATCTGCCGCGGACCTTCCCAAACCACCGGAAGCGCCTTGCCGCCATGTCGGGGAAAACTTACAGAGCGCCCAAAGGGTGGGCTATGGTGGGCTTTCCAATGGTGGGCCATCCCCGTAGGTATTTAGGTGTTGAGACATTTTGTGGGTAGCTTAAATCACCAACAGTTCCACTTTTAAGCATGGGATCTGGGAACAGCCCAGTTACTCCGTTGTTCAAAGCGAATCGACCTGAAATGACCTTTTGGTTTTCCCGTTTTGGCAACAACATTTAGTCATGGCCCCAGAAGGTGCACCAGAACCACTTTTAGTTCCAGTTGCTTTGGGCAACTGAGCAACCCCTTGTGGGGGGTACCGTATGAAGAAAAACAACACCCCAACTTCTGTACCGAGCGAGGCCTTTGCAAGTAAAGTTGGGGCTGAACTGGTATTGCCCAAAGAGTTGTGTTTCACAATGTGGCATAGGTGGCAAAGGTGGCAAGGGCACTTTCTCTCCCATGCCAATAAGGTCATGTTGAGTGCAGTAGTCATGGGGGCTCGGCATGGCCCGGTTTGGCATGACATGCAGCAAATGAAGGACCTGGCCCATTGTCACTTGCCGGTTGAAGCTTGGTGCTCTCAATTTCACACATTGCCGGCTTACACGTTCCCAACCCGCCTTCAAAAAGCAAAACCCCTTTGCCTAAACCGCGCCGGTGCCTGTTTCCCGCCGAAACTTGGTGGTTGTTGTTTGGCCCCCGTTGAAAGCCACCAAAAAACAAAGCAACAACAGGGAGAGAGGGGGGGGGGCACGGACCACCCAGCAAGAATTCGCCTCTCTTGGGGCATGGAACCCCCCACCCCCCCCCCCCCCGTTTAAGCCCAGCAGGGTCGCCACTTCGAATCGGGCGACTGGGACGGCGCGAGGTTCCGCTGCGCCGCCGGGCGGGCAGAGCTGCGCAACGTCTTGTGGGCCTTCGCCAGGCCTTTCGATCCGTGGGGTCGGCTTCGCGGGGGTTTGCGGGGCCGCCCACGGGGGAGTTTTGGTAGGAGACTTGGGAGTTTGGACCTCGGTTTTTGGGGATACCACTGGGGATACCCCAGGTGATCTGGGGAGTTGTTGGGGGAGGAAGCCGGCAAGTTGGGGGGTTTTCAAGGGGGGGGGGGTGCTGCGTTTTTTGTTTGTTTGTTTTTTTGTGGGGAGGGGGGAGGCCAACGCCTTGAAGCGACCAACAAAGGCAGCACAGAATATCGGTCAAGCAAAAAAGAGTGCCATTTCCTTTTTCTCACCAAAGGAACAGACAGGTGCGCAGGAGCGTGCACCGTGCATGCTTTGCAACGTTCTTGTTGTTTGCAGGCAGGTGTTGGATGCAAAGCCCTTAGTCTCAAAGGAATGTTGCCATATCTTTCTTCCGTTGGGGAAAGCCATGTTGAGCTCTGATGGGATGTGGGCCATCAAAGCCAAGTTCGGGTGCCCCAGAATGGTGGTCCTTGTCGCGCTTCTGAACCCTGGAACCTCCAGAAAGGAAAAAAAAAAAAAACAAGTAAAGCTGTGGGTTGTTGCATGTGTTTGACTCCCTGCTTGAGGAAATCAAGTGAGCGACGTCCTCACAACCCAGGCGAGCTGAGGTTAGGAAACAGTCCCAACGATAAATAGGTGCAAATATCCACCCCGTTGATTCTTTACCATAGGTTCTGGGTATGCAATGTGTTGCCAGGCTTCGATTATGCCTTTAGTTTTGCGGATTTCCCACTCAAAATGGTCGACTCCAGCATGGGTTCCATATGTAAATATACGTATGTATATATATATATATCTATCCTTGAAGCAGCACCTTCAACCTATCGAAAAGTTCACCCATGTTGGAGAAACGACGCGTAATGTGCAAACCACCCAAGGCGCGACATCTTTTGAACCATGTGCAATTGGGGATCAATTTGGATGGCGCCCGCTGGAGTGCCAGGAAAGCACCTTGTTTCAGCCTATTTCTTATCTGTTGAGTTTGCAAGCTTCAGCGTTTTGTTGGCATGCTTCCTCATGTTAGCCAAGGGCCAAAGGTGCCGTCACTATTTTTGCAGAGTCAGAACAACAGGTTTGGTTCCGGGATCGGTCTTTGCAAGTGTCGATTTGGTTCAGGTTTTGTGCCAACTTGCTGCCCTTCGCACCCCCAACTTGATGGCTTTTTGAGCCATGGCGGCTCCCGGCCGTCTCCTTAGCTCTTTCGTTTTTTTAGGGTTTGGTGGTTGGTTCCAGTTCACCCGCTAAAGTTTAGGATCGGAGGACAGCCATGAAAACCCTCCGATTTTCCGCTCGGACGCTAGGCGATGCCCTGCTGTGCGCTACTGCCAGGGCTTGAACTTCATCGCGGGGCTGCTGCTGGTAGCGCCGAAGACCGCACCAAGCGCTTCCATGGCCCAAAGCGGCCGCTTCAGGGGGGAGGTTGGGGGCATTTTGGTGGGCTGCGCTTGGTGAAGGATTTGAAGGCAGACGTTTGAAGCTGCCCGTTTGGGGCGGCGGGGGGGGGGGGGGGGTTGGGGGCATTTTCGGTGCCTTGGCATAGGGAACCCCCAAACAAATGCCTTCCTTTTGCTCTCCCAGGCCTTGTTCTGGCCAGCGTGCTGTCCATGAGCAGAAACGGGATGGACATCTTGTTCCCTTTCTTGCCAAAACTTTATACTTTGGCACCCGGTGAAAAACTCCCAAAAAGGAGGTGCCCCTGTGTTTTCTTGGAAGTTGCGGCTCTATCGAAAACGGCACGCCCGACCTTGAACGAATTCTGATTTGTTTGTGCTCCTTGAAGTTTGTGTTGGCTGCACGTGAGGTGCTGCAGAACGAGGACGGGAAGCTGCTTGGTCATCCACATGAGAATCCACGCCCAGTGTGCAGTTTTCCCGGTTTTGGAGGGGGGGAGTCACTGAAAAAAAACCTGTCAAAATCAACTACCAAGACAGGGTGCCGGATTTTTCTCCACCACTCGGGGTTTGGGTCAAGCTCCCGCATATAGCTCCTAGTGGAACGTTCTAGCAGCAAATTGGGGGAGGGGGTGACCCCTGGAATTCCGTTCCATTTCCCTTTGTTTTGACCCCCGGCCCCCCCTCCTTTTCTTCAACCCTTGGCTGCCCCGTGTTTCGCATGGGGTACCGGAGGGATCCGACTGGTCGCCTTGCTAGGAGCAAGCCTTCTGGACCCTGGTGTGCACCTTCGATGCCCTTGGGGTTGAAGGCTACTACACGGAAGGTGCGGGACATCCCCAAGCCGAGTCGCAGCGGAACGTTTCGCCGGACCTGAGCTGAGATTTTGTGTTTCCAGCGCGGTAAGTTTTTGTGGCTTTTCCGCGGCCATGCGTCGAAAGCGACGTTAGGTAGCATGCGCCATCGGTCCGAAAATGCGCCCGCGCGAGGCATGACGCTTCTGCGGGCCGACCTGCAAGTTTTGACCTCCTTCCTGTCCTCCAAGTGCCCAAGGGTGCGGAGCCCAGGTCTTCCCATGGCATGGCGTCCTTCTGGTTTCGCAGTTGGATGAGTTGGTATCAATTCCCTCATTTTGGCACACCCCCAAAACTTGCTGGTGCCAAGCTGGGAATGAGGGAACGGCCCCTATAAATAAACCATCCCTTGTGATTGGGACCGAAGCCTGGGTTCATTCCTTCATTTGCTGCCTATCGCACCAGCAAGTTGAGAAGTTCCTGGGGATTTGATGCGTACGTCGTCATTTCCAGTTTCCGGGTGGTTTCTTCAACTTCCCCCCCCTTAACCCCCGACTCGACTCAACGACTCGGCCGGAAATCCGTGCCCAAGAAGTGGTTGGAGGGGCGGAGTTGCGACCAAACTCGCCGAGAGGTGGCCCGAGAGCTCACGCGCTTGAACGTGGACCTGCTTTCCATCTGCGCCGGCCCTAGCCGGCCCTACCAGCACCCGGGCACCCGAGTCCCGCCCCGCTGCTTCTGTTGGACAGCACTTAGGATTGTGGAGATGGGGCTCAGTCACTTGTCCAAGCAGACCCGGGGCCTAGGGGGCAAATCCAAACCATGAAACTGTTCGGAAAGCCCTGGAGGACGAATTTGAAGGGCTTCGTTCCAAGTTTTGACGTTCTTATCCGCATTCAGATGCCGACGGATGTAGAATCTGCTGCTTGCCGGCTACTGTTTTGTTCTTTTTTCTTTTTTTGCTGAGGCTCGGAGTGGTTTATCACCTGGTTCGCCAAGAGTCTGCCCATCGCCACGGTGCTCCGCGTTTGGGACACCCTCTTCTTTGAGGGCTTCAAGGTGCGGATGCAGACCGGACGTGGGTGCTGCTTGTGGGCCCCACTCCGTCCCACTCCCTTTCGTGCGGGTCCTTTTTTTTTCTTTGTGGGGGGGGGGGTCGGTAACGAAAGGTGCCAGAGGATAAATCCAGCCTTTGCCTGTCGCAGCCGGAAGGGTACGTGTGACACACCCAACATTGTGAACAGGGGGTTTTCCACAGACTCCGTAAGCAACCTCCGGCTGTGAAGCCGAAGGAAACTCAAAACAGCGGCACAGAAATTGGGAAAACCCATGCCCGTCCACACCCCGTCCACCACAGCCCTGAGTTTCCAGCAAATGCATGCGACAAGTAAAATAAAGGCTGATGGATTGATCCATAGTAACAGGTGGGTAGGCAATTTCACGCATCAAATACGTGCATGCATGCCTACATGCCCACGTACGTACACAGGTGCATGCGTTTATACGCACGTAGGAGATTACGCACGTATGTACCTACTCAGATACATATGCACACACATGCGCACAAACATGCCTCGATACATGAAGGCAACAGTTCGACGCATGCATGTAAGCATATGAAAGAATACGTGCACGTGTAAGGATTTCTGGGTGCGTGCGTGCGTGTGCGCGTGCGTGTGCGCATGCGTGTGCGTGTGCGTGTGCGTGAGTTTGTGTCTGTGTCTGTGTCTATGTCTATGTCTCTGTCTGTGTGTTTGTCTGTATGTTTGTGTCTGTCTGCGTGTCTGTCTGTGTGTGTGACGTGTGTTTGCATGCTCGTGGCTATGCTTGTTTGTTTATTTGTTGAGTATTTAGTTGCTTGAAGCCTTTGCTTCGCCAATACTTCAATACTTTCTGCATTGAGTATCTTCGCCTAATTTGTTTAGATATTATTGTGTGTGCATTCAGCCAAAGAGGGCTGATTGGCAAGATGGTGGTCCAAAGGGAGTCTTGTAGATGTCACAGGGGGTTCATGAAAGGTTTGTGTGTTGACTGTGTGTTTCTTGTACATGGCACAGTTCCCTTTAGGTTTAATCACAGCCTTTGCATGAAGGGGCTTGTTACGTCTTGCGGGCTTGTCTTTTGGCGAAACCAAACGGGAAGGTACTTTATGGGAACACGCTCCCCAAAAAAGTGAAGCAAATGAAGAGAGGCCCAAGCCGCTCCAAGAATCCAAATTCATAAGCTGAGCTGTCAGGTGCTGTTCAGAATCTCCATGGGCATCTTCAAACTGGTCGAGCAAGAGGTACTGCGTTGCCAAAGCTTCGACAACGCCAGGGGCTCGATCCCTTTGTCGTTCGCTGAAATATGTTTGGTCAACCAGGCCCAGAGTGAGTGCTGCTTGTGCTGATCTGTCGGGTTTCTCCGCCATGGGATGCAAGTTTATGGGCACCCTATTGGGCTCCCAGGTTGGTTTCATGTTAGCTCCTACTTGAAATGACGACGAGAGGGGCCTCTGCTTGTTTCACGTGCAAGGCTTGGACCGGGGCGGGAAGCAGACTCCAGTTCAGAAGCCCTGAGCATCCCCAACCACATCAGCAAAGGCGCAGCCCGTTCAGAACCCGCCCCCTACGACCACACTAAAGAAAACCCTCGGATGTAAGAAATTGAGGGGGGGAGGCACAAACAAAAGCGCCCCAGTAAAACTGACAGCGACTGGCAGGCCCGAACGAGGTGTATTAGTTCTCAGTTCGGGCAGTCCAGCATTTGGAACCATTGAGGTGTCTCTCACTCCAAAGGGGTAAACCAATATAAGAGAGCTGCAAAGACGACCGCCAGCAAATGGGTTCAGGTAAATGTTGTCTTCTTGCTTAAGAATATGTTTAATTTTCCCTTGTTGGTTTTAAAGGGCTCCTGTCACTACTGGACCCTGGATTTTTCCCAGGCGGCTTAAGCAAACGAAGATTGCAAAGGCTGGTTTTCCACCTTTCCAAGATTCATCCGGTCGAGGGGGTCGGCCCAAATCCTGAGTGCATGATACAAGTCCTTCGATGCTCCCAGGGAATTGATGACAAAACCCGGATGCGGCTGATGCCCAAGTTGATTCCCCCGGAATCTGGTGAACAATATGGGACGGGTCGCGCCTTTTCAGGCCACCTGCAACTTGGACGTCGGCCTTTGGTCAACGGATGTCATGCTTTCCCTTTCAAGGATTTGATACCAGCCTCCGAACCTCCGTGCTGCTTGTTGTTTACGGGAACCGCTGTAACCACGGGGGTTGAGTCAGAAAATCTTGCTAAGGGAGGTCTGAAGAGGGATAGGCTTGCTCAGGTTCCAAGGCCACTTGGACCCCTCCCTTTTGGGAAAATTACTTCGATGAATGCCTATCCATGCTGGCCATCCATGAAATGTTATCTTTAAGCATTGATTTCCGAGCATGTTGTTTTAACCTTCCACGCTTTTCCCGGGATTCGAATGTCGGACATTCGGATCCCCCCAGTCCCATGCTCAGGTCATGGAGCGCGCCAAGCGCTGGCCCAGGGGCCTGGTGCAGCACAACGAGCTCTTGAAGGCCCCGAAACAAGGGAGAAAGCTTCCCGCCGAGCGGCCGCGTTTCGTTTTTCGTGGCTTCGCCTGGGTGGGGATGTGTCTCAAAATGAACAAATTCCCCGCGGAGTTCTGATTTCCTCAGAGGGGTACTTTAAGCCATGCCCACGACCAAACAAACGATCCGGCAAAATCAAGAAACATCAAGTCTTGCGATGTTGATGGTGAGCGAGTGAGAATAGACGCGTGTTTTTGTGTTGCGCACCGAGGGTGGGAGCATCTCCCAAAATGACCGAACTCCCGATTTCGAAAGTCCCTCAGAGAGTTTGCTATGCTTCTGTTTGCCTAGTGAGACCTCCAGTTCCCGATTTCGGTTTCAGAGAGTCACTGTTGCGATATGTTGGCTCTTCCTGAGTTCATGAACTTTAAACTTTTTGGGAAGACCATTTTAGTGGTAAGTAAAAAGTGTGGACTTTTTTTGGCCATCCACTCAGCAAGTGAGTTTGGCTCCAGTGCGAACTTCTCCATCTCCAAGCCGTGACCTTTGGTCGACGGTGGCATCAAACCTCTGCGCAGGCCAGCTTCCAGGGCCTCCAGCTGAGGCCGGGCGGGCGGGTGCCAACCCGCCGGCGGCCGTTGCGTTTTTTTTTTTTTTTTTTTTTGGCGCCCATAAAGCAAGCCTCCCGAACACAAAGTGGGGGAAGGGGGTGGGGGGGGAACGGGGTGGGGGGGGGGCAATATGGAAAAAAAAACACGAACTGGGGGCCAGAGTTGGGCCTCATGTATCGCAGAAAGTGCTGCTTAGTATTGGTTCCTTTGGCCCCCTGTTTAGAATTGGTTAGTGGTCTAGTAGTCCGTCTTGTACTGGTTCATTCGTCTCTAGTATTGGTTTAGTTTGGCTGGCCCGTTTCAAAATTTGTTTGGGCAGCTGTTTTATCACAGGGGTGTCAATGTATTTCTTCCGTTGGTTTTGCTGGCGTAGTATTAGTCAGTCTTGGCTGGGTCCTGGTTAGTATTATTTTGCTATTGGTGTAGTATTCCTATTTACTGGCTCAGTAGTTTTTAGAATTGGTTTAGCATTCGCTAGGTTTAGCATTAGCTGGGTTTAGCATTGTTAAGTTTTCCTCAGTACTGGCCCAGAGTTTGTTCTTTTCTGTATTCTTCGCATCCCCTTCAAAATCAGTTTTTGCTGTTCGGGGCTTCATTGTACTGCCCCCTTGACAATGTGTCCGTGCGGCTGGTTTAGTAAAGGGTGCTGGCTGAGGATGGGCTTAGCATTGGTTTAGTAGTAGTTAGTATCGGTCTGGTATTGAGTACTGTTAGTCTAGTATTAGTTTAGTTTTGCCAGGGCTTGGGATCATGTTGTTTTAACCCTCGGACGGGCAGCCATATTTGTCCGCCCGGAGTAAACAAACACTGCTCTGCATTTCCTTCCCAAACCAATCGCTACCCGAGCAGAGGGGGTGGAATCCTATAACGTGACACCAGGCTGCCCCGCGAGGAAACTGGTCTTTCAGAATGTCAGGTCACATGCTGATGGGAGGGTACATGGAAATGCAAAATTCCCGCCCACAATAAGGTGCCGCCAAAAAGAGACGATGCAAAGGATGGTATCGCGCTCATTCCTGAATCTGAGCGGGCCATCCAAGAAAACAAAGCCTCAGTTGCGCAATGCCAACCGTTTCACCTTCGGGTTCCGTTTTGGTGCATAGGTTTTAAAAGATGATCACTGGGTCAAAATCCCGGTTTGCCCCCAGTGAACATCCCAATCCATTCTACATTTCTTGGGGGAGGGTTCCCCTACAGAAAAAAGGCTACCCTTACTCTAAGCTCTCTACTGGAGAACCTAGTTAGCCAAGGTACCCAAAGATGATCACTGGGTCCAGCGAGGGCAGAGAAAAAGGAGCTCGATCCTTGTGCAGGAGAGCAGGTCTCCTCAAAGCGCGTGACGAGGCGGGGAAGGTCCGGGTGATAATTTCTGACCCACCCAACCGGCTTTTTGACCGTGTCCAAAATCCCAAGTCTCCAAAAAAAAGGAACAAAAAAACAAGAAGCAGCCTGAAACAGCAAACAGCAAGAAAGATCCAGGTTTTTTACCAGCCTGTTTCCTCCAAAAAGTGGTTGGGGGGTGGTTGGGGTGGACGAAATCTGGAACCGAATCTAAAGATGGGGGTGCTCAGGGTTGCCTAGTTCCCTTGGGCAATTTTGGGCAGCTGCAACTGGGCCGCGTGTGCCCAAACTAGGCCTAGCTTTTGGGGGTCCCCTCTTTAAAGGGCCCAGATTTGGGAAGGTCATATTGATATGTGATGTTTCCACCTTATTTATGGTAAAACAATAAAGCAGCAGTTCTCAACCTACGTCCCCCAGTAGTGCCCTTTTACCCTTTTTTGGGGAGGGTTCCCCTAATTACTAAAATAGACTACAGAGAAAGAAGGGTACCTTTATTCTCACCTCTCTACATACTGGAGGACCTAGCAACTGAAATGTTGCTCGAAAACGGAAAATCGTGCCTCAAAAAGAAGTCGTCTCCAGCTCGTCGCCCGCAGGCACTCAGCAGGATCGAGCAAGAGGATGAAGAGCGCCGAAAACTGGCGCGAGCTCGAGCGGAGGCCAGACAGCTCACGCGCCCCTGCAAGGGTTAGAGCGCAATAAGCATTACTTGGGTGTGTCGTTTTGGGAGGTACCCATTTTTCGTTGCGTTTGAAGGGAAAACCAACAGAAACACCACAATGTTCATGTTTTTTGGTTGGTTTCAAAGGGACATGTCAAAAGGAACGCAGTTTTGGGAGGTCCAAACTAAAAACGACACACATTTAGTTGGGAAATGAAGGCTCAAAAGAACAAGGCAGGCCAACTCTTGCGCCTTACCCCTGCGCGTTTTCCTTGAGGGTCGGGGGGGTTCCGTTCAGGCGGCCAGGCGCTGACCACCTTTGCGAAGCTTTGAGAAGAGCGGAAGGCGGAAGGCGGACGCTTTTGGGTAGATGAAGGTTGGTAAGGGACAATCCCCTTGCCATAAATAGCTGCGGGCGCCTTCTTAATTCCTGTCCATGGTTCTGGGTAGGCCATTTTAGTTCTGGGTTTTGATTGTGACTCATGCGGGGTCTGTGAAAATCAGGGGGCCCCAATGGCGGTGGTCCTTTTGATTTCCCATCCCCAAGAAAAGACAAACGAAAAGGTGCCCTCCAAGAAAAACGGCGCCACATGTTTCCAGGAACTGTGCCACATTTGGTGGTGAAAAGGCGTCAACTGGCGGATTCTTTACGGATATCTCTTACAAAGTGCCAGTTGACTTTGCCGGAGATGCGACTACGACAAGATTTCACTCCCTTGCCCAAAGCGAATCGATCTTGACCTGTGGTTTTTTCAACGTTCGGCCATTTTTGGTCACGGCCCAGAAAGGGACAATGGGAGGACTACTTCCGCAGGTCTGCAACTAGCGATGTAGAGATGGATGTACAAAAAGCTCTCTGAAAATGGCAGCCAGCCTCTGACAGCGCAGGACTGCCACGTCTTCCTCTCCATCCGTTCCAGGAGCGCCACTGGAAGTTCGGCTAGCCCAGTAGATAACAAGCAGGCGCCAACCATGACCCACGAAAACGGAGCCCACCCGATTCTTGTCCCGGCCCCTGTCCTTTTGGCAACCTTGCCTGTCTTCTTGCAGAGAAACAAGCGTCCATTCATTGTTCATGGCACATCGCACCGCCAGGAGAGATCTTCTTCGGTCACAGCTGCCTAGTTAGTTTCCCAGTTGTCCAGTAACACCTGCTACATTTCTTGTGTTGGGCTTCCCCGCTATGGTCCTGGCCCCCATTGAGGGTCGAAGCCTTTTGCTACCAGGGTCACTGAACAACTGGGTGGGAGAGACGCGCGGTTTTGCCCAAGCAGATGGCACCCAAGATGACACCTGCGCGGGCGGCTTCCGCCGCTCCCAGCCGGCGAGGTTTGAGCGTTAAATCTGGGTCCCCAATGTTTCCCCGTCAGGTTGTTTCAAGCATGGTGCAACGGCAAGTTCGAAGTGAGAGTTCGTCCTTTTCTGGGGAAGTGTATGGAGCCCTGTAAATTTGGCAGTCCCCAAGGGACTGGAATCATTGCAAGCCCTGCGCAAAAAGCTGCGAGCTCGCCTTTTGGGGCTTTGCATCTTTCCTTAACTCAGTTGGCCAAAGCCGACCTTTTGACCTTTGGGTTTTCCCTTTTTTGTCTATTTTTAGTAGTCCCAAAAGGTGAACCTTTTATTTGCAGGTCCTTTGGGCAAGTGAGATTATCCTTCTCTCTCTCTCTCTCGCTTTTCTCGCCCTCGGCTCCATCCCATTCGCCCACCAACTCCGGCAGAGGCAGACTTTGTGTCCCGGATGCCCATGGCCCGATTCATCTCTAAAAATCCAAAAACGGATTTAAAAGATACATGTTGCAAATTTGAAACATGGCTTTTTCCACCAAAATAAAGCGAAACCACCATTGACAAGGCAATGTTCAGGTGTACAATGTAAGGATCGCTGAATCGTCCTGGAATTCTGCGCCGGGTTGCTCCAAGGTCGCCCCCTCCGCCCCGTAGTCTTGGCTGATCAGCGGCCAGGAGCGCAAAGCTCAAACCTAGAACCCAAAGCACCAATCGCCATGCGCAAATCCATTTTCATGCACAGAGAATTCCCCACCCGCACGAAAAGCGCGACACGCATGTTTGTTGCCCGAGTGCGACTTCAAGCATCTAGCCCTTAAGAGCATCCCTCATGCCTTTTAAAGACCCCTTCTTTGCTGGAAGCTGCCAGGACATTTTCTGGTTCTGAAAAGGGTCGGTGAAAAGAATGGGGGACGTGTTGTGCTGAAGATTGGCTTTGTCCTCACGCGGGTGTCGTCGACGGGCCTGCTCCCCACCTTCAGTGCATCTTGCTTTCAAGAAGCACCCCAAGAAAAGACTCCTGCAGAAAAAGCGTGCTCAGAGGTAGGTATTGCTATCATGCTACGCGAATTATGCTGTTGCGTTCACGATCCAACAGCAAAAGCAACCAAACAGGCACTGACGCGACACAAGTCCTACTGGCAGCTGGGTATGGCATGGTATGGCGGCTGCTGCGGCTCACAGCTTAGGGCACACATTCTGACGCTGAATCTTATGTGGTGTGGCTGTAAACGTCGAGGTGTGCGAGTTTGCATTGATCGTTGAATATCTTGCTAAATACATGCCATGTTTATTTGACATTGCCAAAGTCACGCGAGGTAGTGCGCAGCATACAAGGGGGCCAAGCAGAGCAAAGGGGACGGAGCAAGAATGGGAGTGAGCCATGCCACCGCTCACGCTGAAGAACGCCATTCTGACCAGCGAGGATGCCAACAAGGACGGGCATCCAGTGGAGAAGATACGCTGGTGGGGCCCCGAGTCAGACAGACAGCCACTTGCGGCAGTTTTGATCAGGTAAGTGCGTGCAGCTGTGGCAGGAAACTATCTGAGGGATTGAGCCTGCCATGGGGATAGCAAGCTTGGGGCAGACATATCCCATAAGAGCCAATCCGGGCATGCTCATGTTGGCGAACCAAGGTTGGAATGCTTCACTGACAAGGAGAATGTCTCAGAGTTTTGTGAGGCAAGGCTTCGGCCACTATATTTGAATAAGCAATTTCGATCAACCTCCTGTTGTTTCCCCGGGCAAGCATCAGGATGGATATGTCTCAAAGGGGGGACCAACCAACATGGAGTTTGGGTTTCCTTTAGGTTTCCTAATCAGCCCCCAAAAAAGGGCGCCCCTACAAAAACACACACCCATAATATGGTTTATACAGATACCCTGGAGGCGACAGACCCTGCCGGCAACTTGGAGTCGAACAGCTCCCCCGCGTACAAGGACGCCGGAAAATGGGAGCCCGCCTTTGTGGGGACCGCTACTTTGAGAAACACCCACTGCCTCGACCATCGCTGAAAAGAAGCTCAGAAGGAACCGAGAAGACTGACCTGTCCGGGGCTGTTTGCGCGTGCATGGCGACCAGTGCTTAGGGGGAAAAAAGGAGCATCTTCACACATGGTTGTGGGTCAAAACCCTGTCAAAATAGGTGGCAAATGGATGTTCATCCGCTCCAAAATGGAGCCATAGGTTATGACCCATGGCCACATGGACAAGTGGTGTTTGCTTCATTTTCTTGGGGCCGGAGGCAGGTCTTGAAGCCAAAGAACCGGGGGGGTTGGCCAGGAGTACCAGGACAGGCTACGCGCCATCGCGCTGCGAAAGGCGCGGGGGTGAAAAGTCGCATTCGCGTGAAGAGAAAGAATCGAATTTGAGGAGGGGGCTGACCCCTGAAATTCCATCTACGGTGTTCAATGTTCCCCTTCATATAGGGAAGACTTGAGAAATGGAACTGGGGGATTTCCAGCCTCCTCCCTATTGTGGTAGGGATGTGCAAGCTGTGCAGAGCTGTGGTGGAAGTTCCTGTGTTCCACGGTTTTCGGAGGAGCTGCGCAAATGTCCGAAACTCACCGATTCCTCTGCGGCATGCCTTGCCTCTAAATGCTTTGGATTCGCTTTCCCCAAGGTTAAGCGGCTGAAAGAACACCACAGCCAACAAAAAAGCAACCACAAAAAACTGCTGACACATTGCAGAGATTCTGACACATCGAGCCAAAAAAAGAAGAAGCACAAGCGCCATGTTTCGGGCCGGGACCTTGTCCAGGTCCCCCAGTAGTGCCCTTTCTCTCCCCTTTTTTGGTTGGGAGAATTCCCCTACTAAAACAGACGTCCAGAAAAAAGTTGGTACCAACTTATTCTAAGCTATTCTAAGCTCTCTACTGGAGGACCCAGTTAGTTTGATGGTGCCCAAGATCTCCCCCAAACCCCCCAAACCCCCAACCCCGCCCCCCACCCCTCCCCCCCCAACAAAAACAAAAACAACAACTAGCTGTAACAAACAATCCGCCGTGAGGAAGGCCACGAGAAGTCGGAGATCGCTGAAGCGCTGGGCCGGCCGCGTCGATTTGTAGAGACCTGGTGGCGCAAAGAGCCCAAGGAGGTGCCGAAGCCACCGGGAGCTGCTGAGACTCAAGTGAGCAGAGCTGACCTCCAGACCTGGCGCCGGTTTTTGGTTTTTCTTCTCCGTTTTTTTTTTTTTTTGGGGGGGGGGAGTGAGGTAATCCTGAATTGGTGGTTTGGATTGGCGGTTTGGTGGTTGTTTGTTTTTCTTTTTCTCCATTTGTTAGGGTGAGGTTCTGTCTTGCTCAACAAAACCACCCCCACCCCCACCCCCGCCAGAGCTGGCGTTGTTTGCTCCGTTGTTTGCTCGGTGTCTTCTCCGTTTTTTTGCTGAGGTAATCCTGAATTTGTGAATTGGATTGGTGGTTTGGAATTGGATTTGAACCCCTGGCTTTGGAGGGTAAGTGGGAAACCCGACCTGAGCAGCCAAACCACCAATCCAAACCACCAAGTGGAGGGAAACTGATGCTTGTGAGGTTCTGTCTCGCCCAACAACCCACCCCCACCCCCAACCCCCCAAAAAAGAGGAAGAGCAAACACGTGATGCATGTCCCTTGCTCCACTTGTTTGAGGGGGAACGTTTAAAATCCACTGGAGGTTTGTGAAATAGTCCAACGGTGTTTGTCAAATTGGTTTCGAGTTTTCGCACACACACCACCCACGCCAAGCTAGCCACGGGCATCAATCCCAAAGACTCCCCCGGATCGAGAAACCGCTTGGCACTTGCAAATGGACCAGAAGTTTTCAAGAAGACTCCTGAGGACATCTAGCCTTGACCAGTTTGGTTGGTTGTTGCTTCGGGAAAGTCGCGTCGGACGTGTCACGTGTCTGCGGTTCCATGCTGGTTCCTTGGCGTCGGCGCGTCAAAGCCCTTCAAGGGCCGTGCCCCATTTGAAAAGACAAACCTTCACTGGTTTGAGGCACCATGACGCCAGCCCCGGATGGCCGCCAGAATTCTCGGGCGTTCAATGTGCCATGAAGTGGGGCCAGAAACGAGTCAGATTTCAACACTTACTTGCAGAACTTGTTGGCAAAGGGTCACAAACAAGTTGCATAAGCAAGGTTGCCCCTCACAAATCGAGTTCTGCAGGTGAAAGTCGGTGGATCGTTCTTGAGACATGTTTTATGGCGCATTTGGGGCCCAAGTTCTGCCGCCGGAATCTCAGGTTCATGACTATCTGAAAACGGAGTTCTGGCGGGACATCGAGATCATCCGGGGCTTTGGGACACTCTGTGCAGACTCAACTCGCCGTCTCGTATTTTTTGTTTTGCCCTCTTGGGGTTCCCGGCATTTGTTTGCGCTTCTCTAACTATTCGTCAAGGCCCAAAAGACTGTCGTAAGATTTGCCGGTGCTTTCAGTGAGGAAAGGTCTGGGCATCTACGAGGATGCTTTGAACACCACAGAGTGGGTACAGCCCATGTCAGACGGAAGAGAATTTAAGAACGGGGGTGGATACCGGCTCAAGTACGACAAGGAGGGCCGAATGAGGCCCCAAGGCAATCAGAATGCGCTCCTCGGCACTTGGATTTTGCTTTTCTCGTTCCATGCGGGGTCTTCCGAGTTCTTCGGGTGCCTCCCTCGTTCAGAAGTGTCATCGACTAAACTGGGTATTGCCTGTTTCCACGGGGCACCTGAAAAAGGGGGGCCATGGGTAACTTTTCCCATGGGAAAGTCATCGTTTTTGGTGGTCATCCCATGTTCATCGGACCGTTTGATCAACCTCCGGTTGGCTTACATCAGCCAGTCGACTTCCCAAGCCCCAAATGCCAAACATTTGGCCCGCCTGCGCCGATGTTAACAAGGGACGTGCCACGTTCAGACCGTCTGGTTGGCCCTACAAATTGAGCTTCCATGTGTTATTAAGTTCTAGCAGCCGTGTTTGCTAGAGAGTTTCCCCGGGCGCACTAAGGGGCTTTTGAGCACTTCCAACTTAGGAAGGACGGCGTAATTCCTGGCCGCCTCCCTAAGCTTGACAAGTTGATACAGCAAGTCATGGTGGAGCAAGGCATCAACGATCGCGTCCTCAAGAGGTCCGCGGACGGCGAACGGGACGCATGCAAAATGAATCCCAAAAGGAGGGCTCCTTCAAACGGAAATCGATCTGGGCACCCTCCAGCTAGTGGGAAGGGTGAATTTCCTCTTTATTTTGGGGTCCTGCTTAAATTGACCCACCCAAAATGTGTGTTTTTCCCGCAGGGCTGGAGCAGTGCGCTGCATCTCCAGTCCCAACCTCTTGAGTTGAATCCCTGCAGGCCTGGCTTGCTTTGGTATCCAGACGGAACTTCCGATGCCATTGTGCATCGACACGAGGTGGCCACCTCAGCTGGAGTCCAATGTTTTTGTAATTCCGACTGTCCGACCTCCTCATTTTTGGGCTTTTTGCAGTTCTGTCTTTCTTCTTATGCTTCTGGGTGTGTGTTTGTTTGTTTACGTGCGCGCGTGCATGTGTGTGAGTGTGTGCGCGCGTGTATCCCTCTGTGTGTGTGTCTTGTTGTGTGCTACATGCTGCTTCTCCTAGGCTTGGACAGCTCTGATGTCTTTTGGTTCGCCCCGCATCTTGACCATCGCGCCTGGGCTATTTTTTTAACGGCGGGCGCTGCAAACTTCATGGAATCTTGGGGGGGCTACGGGGGGGGAGGGGCTATCCCTAGATAAGCCCAGGAAAACCCAAGGATAAGCCAAGGGCTGAAAAAGGGATAGCCCCCCCTCCCCATAGCCCCCCTTGGGGGTCCATGAAAACTGTTGATTTGCTGATGCAAGGATGGGCATCCGGTCCTCCTCAGAGACGGGGATCTCATCATCTTCGGCACCCAGCGCCATGGAGTGCCTAAGATGTGCCAAGAAGGCAGGAGCAGTCAATTGGGTGACCTCCGTAGCCGGTTACCACAAGTACAAGGCGCCAGACACACACCACTTTGCGAATTCAGCAGGACGAAACGGGGCCGAAGACCCGAAATGCGAAATCAGTTTCTGATATTCAACTGCTTTGGTCAAGGGCTGCACTTCGCTTGTGACTGCGAGGGAGGATGTCAACTTGGACGTCTTTCGAATTGAAGCGTTTTCGCCTGGGTCAGTGCTTGGTATCTACTGTCCAGGAGAGATGCAGCTCATTTTACGCAACCTGCTCTTGCTTCTCTTTCTCCCTTGGAGCTGTTGCGAGGATTCGACGGCTCCATCTCTACGCGTGTTTGTTTTTCACATTTCTCTGGCGCCCCCTTGCTGCGCAGCAGGCCCCATACTCCGAGGAAAGCGGCAAGCAACAAATAGATGAAGCGCCCTCAGAGGAAAGGCAGCAAATGACACCTAACACCGATGCAGACTTCAGAGCCTCGAGCTTGCAGTTCCCAACAGACACAGTTGTGCGACCATGACCTCGGAGATCGGAGTTTGTTTTAATAAAGTGCCAACTTTAAGATAGCAGCATTCTTGAAGGTGACAAAACACGCCTGCTGCATGTGCATCCCAGCCAAAACGAAAACGGCACATAGTGGTTGAAACGGGGTCCCAGCACCCAAAAACAAGCAAAGACAACACGAGTCAAAACGGACTGGTTCTTGACTCATTGAAGTGAGGGTCCACGTCTTCCCAGCCGATCGGGACCAAAATGCAACCCTGTTCTCAGGAGGTCCCAAAAGTATTTCCAGGTCCTTTGGGCAAGTGAGTGTTTCGAGGTTGTTTCAAAACTTTGCCTACGCTGCCAGGCGCGACCTTTGACGACTATGGTGGGCGTATGTCTGTGGTCATGTTCTTCATGCCCACTGGGAAGCAGGCTGAAGGCAAGGCTGGGCAGAATCTCATTGACCCAGTTACCCCCACAGGAAACCAGGGAAAGCCACATGCAAAGCCTTCATGTAAACATGTTGGCTACAAGAGTTGACTGCATCCACTGTCCAAACGGCCAATAGTTGGTCCCCTTTCGCACTGCTTCAAAGCCGGCAAAAGAGGCACGATTGATATCATGGGAAATGCAAGTGCACCAACCACAACCACAGGACCCTGGACAAATCCGGTAAATATTGGGTTCCCGACTTGTCCCTTGCCATGCCCAGAAAGCATCCATACCGAAACCCAACAAGTGGGTGTCTTAAACTAGGGCTCGGGCCCAAACTGGCTGCCTTTTTGTTGCGTCGCCTTGGACATCCTCCCACCACTTGACATGGACCTTTTCCTTTTCAAGGGACCAGGGTCCTTGTCGGGTTCCGGCTGTCAATTAGTGAACGCCCAACAGGTTGGCCTCCAAAGAAAGGGACGCCAAAGCGTGCCTTGCGACCTGCCGTGCGGGTCAAAATGAAACCGCAGCGGACCCCGAAGACCGCAAGATTTAGGTCTTGCTTCCATTTACAAATGGGCAACCCATGTGGGGTGCCTACTACTGTGGATGGACGAAATCCTGATGATTCCCATGGTTTCATTTCGTGGTGCGAATGGATTTTGTCCATCCACAGTACGACCCCATCCATTTCCGCCGTCTTTCCCTCCAAAAGTGGTCTGATTCCCCACAACTCATCAAGGGACACCGGGACCCCTATTAGTAAACAGGGGTTTAACAAACAAACGGGGTCAACATTACCATGTAAAGAATCAACAAGGCGGCGGCCTGCACCCATGTTGGGGCCAACCGTTACCTATTTCTGACGGGTAATCGCCACAGGCACCGCCCCCTGGCGCGCCATCCACGACGCCCCTTCGCGGAAAGCCTCGGCCATGCTGCAGGAGGCGCACCTGGGCCGAGCCGCGCAGGCGCGGCGTCTAACAAAAACGGGTGTCCCGTTGGGCAGCTGAAAGGGGCGGGGTGTGGGGTCCTTGTGGGGAGTGTTTAAACTTCCATTTGCTAAAATGGAAAGGTTTTAATGTTCTCCCTTGGTTTTAAGGGAGATCTACCACTATCGGACATATTGTCTTTTTCCAGGGGGGCCTAAGCAAATGGAATCTAAAGGGGCAATCGATTTGAAGAGCAAGCACAGGAATCGGGCTGGTGCATTGAGTTCCCAGTTTCAAGCTTCCCGCACCCGTTGCGCAAGCAATGATCATGTTGAGCATGACCCAGAAGCCAGCGAATCATTTGACATGTTGATGCAAGTGATAAAGATGCAAAAACGTTACGCCAAGCATGATGTCGCATCACGTCACATCACAGATTGCGCGCAACACTACATGCATGCATGACACACAGAGACACACAGAGACAGACAGAGACATACAGAGACAGAAAGGAAGAAAGGAAGAAAGAAAGAAAGAAAGAAAGAAAGAAGAAAGAAGGAAAGAACTAAAGAAAGAGAGAACAGAAAGACAGAGGGAAATCAGAAAATGAATAAATAAATACCAAATTAAACAGGAACACACAGAGACAGGCTGAATAAAGAAACATACACATGAATATAATGAAATTAAGAAACAACATGAATAGCCAAATGAAGACATGTAAAGAAGTAGCTAAAGAACTAAAGACAGAAATGGAGAGAAAGAGAGAGAGAGAGAGAGAGAGCGGGAAAGAGAGAGAGAGAGACATAGAGAGAGAGGGAGAGACAGACAGACACAGAGACAGAGACAGAGACAGAGACAGAGACAGAGACAGAGACAGAGACAGAGACAGAGACAGAGACACAGACAGAGCCAGAGCCAGAGCCAGAGACAGAGACAGAGACAGAGACAGAGACAGAGACAGAGACAGACAGACAAATGAAGGGAGACAGGCAGAGGGAGACACACAACAGACAGAGGGAGACAGACAGAGACAGACACAGAGACAGACACAGAGACAGACAAAGACAGAGACAGACAGAGACAGACAGAGACAGACAGAGACAGACAGAGACAGACAGAGACAGACAGAGAAAGACAAAGACCGAGAAAGACAGACGGACAGACAGACAGACAGAGAAGGAGACAGACAGAGACAGAGACAGAGAAGAGACAGACAGACAGAGGGAGACAGACAGAGACAGACAGAGACCGACAGAGATAGACAGAAACAGAGAGAGAGAGAGAGAGAGAGAGAGAGAGAGAGAGAGAGAGACAGAGGGAGGGAGAGACAGACAGGAGCAGAGAGAGACAGACAGGCAGACGTGCCTACAGACACAGACAGCGACAGAGACAGAGACAAAGACAGACATAGTTACATATAGACAGACAGAGACGGAGACGAGACAGAGACAAAGACAGACGGGCAGAACATACCTGTTGCCTGTGACCGTCCCTGAGCGGGGCTTCAGAACCTGTTAAAATCGAGGTGGGCAACAAAGTGGAAAAGCCACATCCAGCACTCCTGAGGCTCCCAAGCTTTGTTCGAACCCCCCCACCCCCAACGTCTTGCGGCTGCAAATGTGTCAACTTGCAGCCATCCTGCCAGAAAAATGCGGGGCTCTTTACTTGGTGTCTCCCAGCCATTCCCCATGGTCAAGTCGCTAAGGGTTGACTTTTGGCATGGGAGGGAACAGCCCAGTTTATCAGAAACCAAGAGCAAGAATCAATGCGATAACCACTGGAAAGTTTTAGAACCCTGAACTCTAAACCCAACACCCTGATCCGAAAACTCTAAGCAGGAAGCCCTATATACATTGCAAAATAGTAAAAATGCAGTAAAGAATGACACCTGGTTTAACCGTAAACCCCAAGACGACCTTGCGGGCAACATTCTGTCTGTTTTGGTTTGGGGGCGGCATGCTTACTTCCAGGCGTACACAACGATCAAGCACACACACACATACCTGCAGGCATGGCATGCATGTATATGTACACACACACACTTTTACTCAACATTGGAAGACATGACAGGACAATCACAGAACAGGCGCGCGCGCGCGCCGGTATGTAGCTGTACACGCGCATCTTCGTGCACAAATTGTCTGATGCGCAAGTATATACTTGGAAATTGCGCCCTTGTGAGCATGCGTTGACATGCGAATATGTACATATACATATCTGTATACATACATTTTTACATGTGTGTGTGTGCTTGTTCACTTGTTTAGGTGCACACTTCATGTGGCAGCACCTCACCGCGCATTGCACGATAGACATTTTCCCCGGAAGGTGAATGGCATGCTCACGGGAGCCAAGTCCGCAGAGATGCGGCAGCTGTTGGAGCTCGGCTTTGGGGAAGACGAGGCGGGGGGACCCATCGACCTATCCGGGTCCACATGATTCCTGGCGTTTCTCCAATGGGCAAACGGAAATGCAAAAAACATGATGAGACTCCTCATGACTTCCAGGTGGGAACACCCAGGGCTCCTATTCGATCTGACAAAGCTAGGAGGTTTGCCTGTGTAAAGGATTTAGATGTTCAAGCTGAGAGGATTCTATCATGTGGGTTGTGGTATGTATCAAGATGCATCTCGATCTCATCCCACTTGCTGGCAACGATGTCCTGCCAACCTGGCACAAAGGTGGGGCAAACGGACCACCATGCGCTGTGCTAGCCTTCATCCTGGCTTTCACCCAACAAAGATCTTCACAAGGCCTTGTTAGCTTCTTTGTGAAAAACCACCGGTGGAGGGAGGTTGGAATCCTGTGAGGCAACTCCGTGTGTTTTATTGAGGATGCCTACTGCTAAGATCGTCACAGCCTGGCATTTGTTGATGGTCGTTTGCGGTTCGTAGTGCTTCTTTTTCATTGGGTCCGCCGACAAACGTCACACTTTGCTCACGCACCAAGGGTCCGCTTGGGCTGACGGTGCGCGCGTTAGAAAGCTCTATGATTTTGACTGGACAGGAGGGTCATGCCTTGGTAACTGTGGGGGCTTGCCTGCAAGCCTGTTGGAAGCTTCCCAAGTAATTATCTTCCAATGCAGTTGTCACACTGTTGCGCTGGATGCACCGGACAGCTGAAGAAGGCTGTTTGAGTGCGTGCTGCACATTGACTTGCCTCTTGCATGAGGCGATGGGCGGGGAGTTGGGAAGACTGGTTTCACCCTCTTTAGTTGGCTGTGGGTCAAAACCCATGGCACCATTTTGGGGTAGGTGCACCACCCATTTTAGTCTATTTTAGTGGGGTGGGATGTTCACTGGGGGTACGATTTGGATTTTCACCCATGGCCAGTGACCCGTAGGCTGCTGCGGCTCTTCTGAAGAATTTGATCGGTCAGTATGGGGTTTTACATCCATTGCATCCGCAGTGTGGCTGTTCAAGCGTGAAAATGTGCGAGCAGCGCACTTGGACGGTTTGTTGTTTCCTTTTGGGCCCCAAACCGGTGACCCTTGAATCTATAGGTTATCAGCCGTAGGCCCCTAGCTCCAAGCAATGGACGGTTCCCTTGTGCCAGTTGATGGATCTAACATGCCTGTGGATGCTGCCGGAGCTAGCTCCGACAACGCCACCGGCGGCGGTGTGCGAATGTTCGCATCAAGCGCTAATGCGCAATACAACCGCACCCTGATGAATTCCCTTCAACTGTACAATACCGCAATCTTTGCTTTTGGGAATGATGCAGCCATTAGGTCTGAAGCCGAAGCCCTGCATCAAGCAGCTGTTACGCATTTGCAAGCGGAAAACCGTGAGGAGCTCCGTGCCGCACAGAATCAGCTGCATGCACACTACGCTGAATGTGTGCAAGCCCAGTCGCATAGAATTCGTGAATACGAACAGCGAGTGAGCGATGAGTTCATGCAAGAAGTGAACTTCGCTGAAGCTAGGATAAGCCAAGTGTGTGAGGAAAATGCCCAAGCATTGCATGAAGCGGAAATGGGACGCAAAACAACTGAGTTTAGGCAAGCCATCGAATCCACCCTGGCGGAAGCACAGCAGCTCCTTCATGAGCAAGCTGCCAAGCATGCCGATGACACAGCCTGTGTTGAGTCGACACACGCCAGAACGGTTGACATGATGGCCCACCAAAACGGGCTTCTGCAGGACGAGCTCGATGAGCTGAAGAAGTATCAGAACCGCGAGGATGGATCGAAGCCCAAAGGGGTAGGTGATACCCGAGAGGATTCACCAGAGTTGATGACCGATGACATGAAGTCAGCTCGGTCCCAAAGGTCAATGTTGGACCCGCTTACCCATCCGTTTCAATATGCAAAGGAAAAGTTGAGGTCGCTTGTTACCTATGACGGTTACGGGGATGAATATACCCCCAGCGTGATTCCAACTGCCGAATGCGAAGCACTGCCCGCAGATGCTCGCGATCCGCAAGGACCAGCTGAAAAGCCATCAGGTAGCAGCCGATCCCCGGTGAAAACAAGTGCACCGGTCCCACCCCTGCAATTCTCTCAGGGGCCAATGTCAACTGACCGCAAGCAGGGTGGTAAGCCTCCTGGCGGTCCGCCACCTGATGATGATGGCGATGGCGATGGTGACGAAGACGAAGGTGATGGCCTTGGGCCTAACCTCGGCAATGAAGCATTCGCCAAGATGTTGATGAAATTAGTAAAAGGCCACACGAACGATGAAAAGCCCAGAACCCGCGAAAGCGAGACGTTGCGATTCAAGGAGATGCCAACTCCTGAAACGTACCGTGAATGGAAGACATCGGTTTGTGAGGACGTCCGCGCTGCATCTGACCGTCCAGACAAGGCTTGGCCTTGGATCATGGAAGTCTGGTCCGATCGCGAGGACAAGAAGAAGCTGTTGGAGGAGCTCGGCGAACCGGGAAAATTCGTGACCCTAGACACGAAGATTCTCGCAGCGCTCACGCGTTCAGCGAAGGGCGATCTGGCTCAGCGAATCTTAACAGCAAAGGAAGAATGTGCCAAGGAGGGAAAGGCCATGAGAGGAAGGCAGGTCTTGTTTATGTTTGACCAATATTTCAAGACCAGTGAAGAAGCCGGAAACCTCTACTCCTTGGAGGACCTGTTGCGTGTCTCGCGACACGGCGAAGGAATCATTGATCTCAAACGTTTCCTGAACGCTTGGGATTCCGTGATCGCCGGCATGAAAAGGCCGCCGGAAGAAAAGGTGTTGAAAGACATCTTGCTTCGCCAAGTGAGAAGCTGCCATCTGTTGCGGTACGACATCGACACATATGATCGTTGCCGTGATGATGATCCCAACAAATCGTACGATTTCCTAATGCGTTGCATGAGGGATCTAATCGAGAGGGATAGGCTCCGCGAGAACCGAGAGCGCGTGTCCAAGGTCAATGCCAGTAAAGCCCCGACGCCCAAGGCTGGTGCTGCCGCCCCTGAAAAGAGGGACCCCAAGAAAAAGAGCGCACCTAAGCCGAAGGACACCGAGGAGAAGTACTGTTTTGACTTCCAGAAGGGCTCGTGCACGAGGGGGGCAAACTGCCCTTACGCGCACCGCAAGGAGCCGCGAGGACGCTCCGCGACCCGCGGCAGGCCAAGTTCCCCCAAAGGCGGTAAAGGAGAGAAAGCACCGTGTTCTTTCTTTGCCCAAGGGAAGTGCACTAGAGGTGACAAATGCAAGTTTAGCCATGCCTCCACGGGCGGCAAATCTGCCGCCGCGGCATCGAGCAGCGAGGCCAATGCAAATCCTGCGGCTAAGAAGCGTGCAAATTCACCTAAGCCTAAGCCCAAGGCCAAAGCCGCTGCAGTCTGCACCAGGTACGCCATGTTCGCAAAGCCGATCGATCCAATCGGAGTGTCATTCGACACCAATGCTCACGTGCATGAGATCCCCGCCGAAGGCGATGGTTTTAAGCTTGAGTATGAGGAACGGCAGTACAATAGGATGTTTCCAAGTGCTAAGGACTGCCCCAGGCCGACCAAAGGGACTAACAAGGCAGCGCGCAAGGCCGCGAACCAGTTAAATGCCGTAGTCAAAGCCATGGAGAATGGAGCCCAGCCCGCTTGTAATTTCATGTGCGATGTGGAATCCGATTCCATCTCAAGCCTATCGTGTGATGAGTGCCTGAGAGTTGCCATGCCGCCTCACGATGTTCGCAAGGATGTCGAAGCGCCAAGGGCAGCCACCCCTGCCCCAAAGGGAAAGGATGTGTGGCTCATTGATTCCGGTAGTGAGCAGGACCTCATCAGCAAAGCTGCACTGAGGAATACGTCCAAGGCAATTCGAAAACAGGCGCCTCAGCCCATTCGCCTTGTGACTGCAAACGGAAACATCACTGCTTCCGAAATCGCCGACATCAATGTCGATGCATTGTGTGAGCCTGCTCAGCCTTACATCCTCGAGAGTTCTCCCGCAGTGCTGTCGCTGGGTGTGAAGTGTCTGGATCAAGGATATTCCTTCCATTGGGAATCCGGGAAGGCGCCAACCATGGTTCGCCCTGATGGTGCTCTGATCCAGCTCAAGGTTGACGGTCATGTGCCATATATGGATTCTAGCTGTGAAGCTGAGCGATCGTTGAGTGCAGTCGCAGCATCCAAGCCAGCGCCTGCGCCGGTTCATGACGAAGGCATCGACGAAGGTGATGATCCCGACGATGAAGTTGAGCGGTTCGTGAGATCCCGCAAAGAGCAAGATCTGGTTGCCGAAGCAGGTACCAAAGAGCACTTGTTTGCACACTATCCGAAGAATCCCTTTTGCCGCACTTGCCAACGTGCCAAAATGCTTGCCCCATATGCAAGATCGAAAGGCGGGCAGGGAAGGCTCGAGACGAAAGCGTTTGGAGATCACATCATTGCTGATCATGTGATTCTCAAGGCCAACATCGAGCAAGGCATTAAAGGTGAATGGTGTGCTCTTGTGATCAAGGACGTGCATACGCAGTTCAGGTACGTTTACCCGTCGACCAGCAAAAGCACGGAGCAATCCGTTGCAGGGATCCAGCATTTCATTTCCGGTAGGGATGAGGTTGAGGTTCTCTACACTGATAACTCCCGGGAATTGAAAGCCGCAATAGAGCAGTTGGGGTACCGTCATCAGACCTCCATTGAATATGTCGATTCTTCCAAATCTTTCGTGGAAAGGGAAATCAGACATCTGTTGGAGGGAGCACGCGCGAATCTTGTTCAGTCAGGGTTCCCACTGTCGATGTGGCCATTTGCTATCCAGCACAACGCAGTTGCGACCAACATCCTGCCACAGTTGAATGGAAACGATTCGCCATGGTACCTCAGGTTTAACAAGACCTTTGATGAAGCTGAGATACCTTTCGGAGCAAAGGTACTGTTCTGGAACAACCCTGCACGAGCTGACAATCAGGCAGGCAAGACTTCGCCAACATCGAATGAAGGCGTGTTTCTCGGGTACCA